AATATATTTACTGAGAAAAATTGTTGACATGTTCAATACTTATTTTACCTGCTGTATATCCCATCAATCACTGTCATTTCAAAACTCTTCTGGTTAAAGTGGTGGAAGTTTAGCAGTAATCATCGTGCCTCATTACATTGCTTCAAAGCATTTTGTTCAATTTGTATTATTTTAGAGAAACATTCAATTTACCAGCAGTAATAAAGAAAGAAAAAAGAAGTAAAGATTGGTATCTGTATTAATGTCCTGTTGTGAACTCATCAGTGTTCAGATTTCTAACGCAACCTTTTATGGAACTCTTAAGAAAAGTCATAATAACCTTTGAAAATTTGTGCTTAAGTGTGAATATCTGGTGGCTTAAAGCAAATTCAGGATGATGAAAAGGCATTATGGGATATGCTTCGCAAACAACAGATCAGAATGTAAAACAAAGGATCGATTGTTGGCAGAGAAAAGAAAAATAGAAGCATTCAGGAAATCTTTCTTTGAGATTCAAAGGGGATTAGTTTGACAGAAAAATGAGAAAAGTAAGCTCCTTGCAAGCACTTCATGACAAAGAATGTAATTTTATTGTTTGAGAATAAAACACTTGTGTGTAAAGGGAGTGTTTGACACCTGATATTTATTTTASAGATGTCTGTCGGGTGTTTTGACACAGATAAGACAGAGTTACAGGGCGTTTCCTCTTTGACAGATCAGAGCTACAGTAAATCTGTGACTTCCAGTCAAACTAAAACATCTGCAAAACTAATAAAATTCAAACTAGTTCAAATAATTATAACTAATAAGTGAAAAACAGTAGGCTTTTTGGCTCGGTTATTTTCCTTTAAAGGGGGAGGTATTATGTATTTTCCAGGAACATACTTCAGTTTTTTTTTATCTCAGTCAAGTAACTGTTGCCTTCAGTTGTTATGAAAATGCTGTAAATATCAAAATAAATGTGATTTTGCATCAAAGTTTATCTGAACACCTTGAAACTGGTCTCTGTCTCTTTAAGAACCTACAGTTTCTGACACTCCCACTTCAGCAAGTTTTCACAACAATGCTTTGGGGGAGGAGTGCTCTGTGGGGCGGGGGCTCGGCTGCAGACTGAGGGAGGAGCTTTGTGTAAATAAGGCGGGGCTTTGTACCAGCAACTGTTTAGGCAGCTCCACATGCAAGAATTCCTCAAACATGCATGAATGAGTCAAAGCACCACTCTGGGTATGTTTTTAATGACGGAATAATAAAGTGCAGAAAAGTTTATTTTAAATACCTCCCTTTAAATATCTAGGATTTGCTGCTATGTTGGCAGTAATTAAAGGCTGAAGCCGAACGGTGCAGAACAGGAACCCCCTGCAGTGACGTGTACCGCAGCGGGAGGGGTTTCCCAGGAGCTCGGCGCGGTGTGTCTCAGGAAATATGAAAAGTGTGTGTGAAAACAAATGCTGAACAACCGTGTGACCGCGTGTTGACTGGCTACAGATGGAGTGTGTAGAGGCTTTAAAGAGGCCTTAAGAATGCCACGTAGCACCTACCAAGATGGCGGCATGGCTTCTCGCTGTGTTAACCTAGCCTGCGTTGTGGTCAGCCAGTTCAATGTGATCTTAGTTACACTGATGGGAACATGAAAAGGTTGGTTTTGGTATTAAAATCAACAAACTTCTGTTGTTTGACGTAAATAAATAAGTCCTGTTTTTAAGGGATTGTTTAGACTCATATTTRTGATTTTTTTTCTTCCCCACACTCTAAATATCTCATCTGACCTCATAACTGAAATGACAGATGGTCCATCTTGGAAGTCTTCTCAGTAAACTGTTTGGAAAATAGTCATCGCTTTAAAAATGACTCCACTTGGCAGCTGATTGGCTGAACCATCTGTCTTTTATTCCCTTCAACYGACTGATCTTGTGAAATTAAACTTTTTCTCAAACTAGTTGTTGGAGGAGTGAAACCGGTCCAACAAAGCGACACCCTCACCTCACCGGTGCAGCATGCTAACGTCCCCCTTTAGCCCATGATCCCACCGAGGCCTCAAAGCTCCCCGGGCTTTGACCGACAACGCCCTTCCTCTATGTACCTTGCACCCGCTGGATGAGATCACTCGAAGGTCAGCTGGAATTCGGTCCCCCCCTTTAATCTCCACCAGATCTCCCAACACCACAGCTTCTGCGTTGATCTGCATCTTCTCTCCCTCTCGGATCACCATCGCTTGCTGGGGGCGAAAAAAAGACGAAGAAGTACTGTCAGGAGGAGGGGATTTGGTAAAACGAGGAGAGAGATGTACAAAAAGAGGAGCTAGAGGGGTGGTGGTATGTTAAAAGCAGATCTAGAGAAAAGGGAAGACAGGTAAGAAAAAGAGGGAGTAAAAGGAGCCTAAATAGATTAAAGAATTAGGTAATCGAAGAGCTGGAGGTGGATAACGAGAGGGAGTTTTTATGCAAACACACTCACAATCCAGAGTTGGCTCAAACATTTATTTTCCTTTGTGCAAGCTTATTAGGTTTCCACTCAAGTGAGTGTGTAAGCCCTACTTGAGGGATGGCTTATTGATTTCGAACGCTCGGAGACTCCACCAACCACCGAATGCATCTGCCCTTACCTGTGGCACCATTTTCTTGAAGGAGTCCATGATTCGAGAGCTCTTGGCTTCTTGGAAGTAGGAGAAGCAACCGGTGACGATCACCACGGCTGCCAGCACCACGCCCAGATACAGCTGAAACAGGAGCAGAGCCGAGCCAAGCGCAGTGTCATTATCCACCTCATTTAGCTCATGTCAGGCATGCTTAAGCTCAGGAAATTGTGATTTTACCAACTTCAGGTTTCGTGAAACGTTAAATGGAAAGAGCAAGAAACGAGTTAAAGCAGCTCACAAGCCACCGGAGAAGTGATTTCTCCTTAACTGTTTATGTCATCTTGGACTCTCAGTCTTAGTCCAACTGTCTCCTAAAGCCAGGAAATAAATACTGTTGGACCAGGAGACACGTTCTGAACCCAGTGGAGGAGCCAGACTTTTTTCTCAGGGGTGGCCAGACTGGGACCACTACTCACACAGGGGTGGTCAGACTGGGACCACTACTCACACAGGGGTGGCCAGACTGGGACCACTACTCACACAGGGGTGGCCAGGAAAATTACATCATTTTTACCTGAAAGTTTTCTGCAGGAATTTGTGTTTTCCTCATTTACTTATACAGGCAGTGACTACCTTATAAACATGTGCAGAACCATTTTAAAGGTGGGGGTGAGGGGAGGGGTCTGGGGGTCCTTCTCCAGAAAAATTTGAATGAAACAGATGCCATTTCCTGCATTCATGGTGTATTTTACCAGGTCGTTAAACATACTTTTACCTACATAAATAAACACTTGATTTAATAACWATTTCAGAGACAGATTCTTCATTAAACTGGTTCCATCATCCGGTCGTCATCCTTCATCTTCCATCACTGCTTCAGCTGAGATGAGGTTAATTAATGTGACACAATTTAACATATCCAATGATTATAGGGGTGCGTTTTACTTTTATTTTGTTTATTGATTTATTTTTAAATGTAGCACGTCATTGTGCGAAATACTGATGACCCTCAGCTGCATGTTTAAAACTAACACATTAAATGAGCAGGTACAATATTGTTAACCACCAACAGTGAATTTAGAGGGGTGTTTCACTTTTTCTGATTTAATGATAGGCCTACTCAGAACCAAACACAGAGCATCATGCAGCCTTCATAGCATAAAATGACATGGTATTATGGTGACAAAAATCAAAACAAATCAAAAACATTTGTCACCATAAGTCCAAAAGTTGACACCATGGCTGTGTCCAAAATGGCAGGCCGGGTCCTCCGAAGGTTGAATTTGTCGGCCGCATACGTCACAGCAC